AGGGCTTTTGGAATCTCTGGGAAATGCAAACTCTCGGAGTGCTGGATCCGTCTGGCTTCCAACTTGTCCGCCAGGGAAGGGGAATTCCTGGAAGTACCTGGATGAACAGGGTGCTTGGGCTTGATCGATTCTTTCACGCCAGTTCTCTGCAGTAGCTCTTTGGGCCGTGTAGCAATAGGCGTTCGTGGCCCTGGGGTGGCCAAAGGCGATCTCATGTAAGGGTCGGTCAGTGCCTGTTCTGAGGGTGAAGCCAAGTACTGTCCAGCAGGGCAATCTTGATGTGGTGGGGCAATCTTCGTAGCTGGGGTCATAGGCGGAACCCCAGTCCTCCTCAAGGGGGTTGACAGACCAAGGTGGGCAGGTTGAGCCTGAGTCTGCACCACAGGAGCCGCCATTTGAGCTGCACTGATTGCCCTCTGGAGCACTGCATCTTCTTCCTCCTGACTCGCCATTTGGCCCTGTACCGCAGGACTGCCCGCCAGAAGCATGTGGAACTCCTCGTCGTAGTTCTTGCTGTCCTGCTGCACAGCTTCTGCTTGTCCTTCCAGGGCCACAACCCTGAGGTGCGCCCTCGCCTTCTCCAGCTCTTCCACGGCCGTCTCGGTATCCTTCTCCAGCTTGTTCATATCTCTGCAAAAGCGACTTCTCTCCCTGCAATAGGAAGCTTTTAAGTCCGCTTCCCACTTTTGCCACTGCTGAACCTTCTCCGTCTTGGAAGTCTGGAGTTTGCGAACATGCCCCTCCAATTTCCGTGCTTGGTTTATTGCCTTCTGCAATTCGCTGAGCAGGCTGTCCGATGGAACGGTCCGCACCTCCTGTACCAAGATGTCTGAAGGAGTCGAGTGATCGCATGCAGGAAAGTTCTTCTCTTGTGGCTTTCCTTTGCCACCTCCCTTGGACTTGTTTTTGCCACCTTTGGGCTGGGCAGCACTCTGTTTCCAGGGGGCTGAACCCCAAGAACCACGCCACACTTGCCAAGGCTGCGAAGGCGAACCATCTTGATTGTACCCTTTTCCCCATGTCATTGTGATGCCGTAGCCAGAATAAGGGTCGCCGCGATCCTCGAGGCTGTTCTTGATTCTCAAAAGCCAGTGTTGGTGGGAAGGAGCGGTGCCGTGGTGAGCAGCCAACAAAGCAAGATCAGGGGACTTATGAATCCCTTGCCGCACGCGCCTTCGTGCTGAAGAGCGCTTCTGACGCAGTCTCCTATGCCAAGGAGGCGAGGAGGATTTGCCTATGGCGGCAGGGAGTGCGCTGTCTAAACAGCTGGGGCGGAGCAATCTGACGCTGTTGTCAGTCTTCTGAGCCCTAGGAGAATCAAACGAAAATACAAAATCCATCGGTGTCAAATTCGGATACTAATCCGGCGAGAAGTACACTTGCAACCTAAATATAACCCCTCTAAGTCCCCAAATATGATTGCATTGGGTCCTGAGTTCCAGTTATACACTTGGAGTACAATTAATACCTTAATCCTCCAAGCACACTAAACCCTAAACCTTATAGACCCTAAACTTACCCGTCCAGCCTGGACAAGCTTCAACTTTCAGGGTTACAAAAAACCACAAATAACAAAAAAAGGCAGGCCGACAGATTCCGGACACCTAGGTAAACAGTACAACATCTGAGGCCAAATTGGCGCCTAATTGCATATTTGGGGGTCGAAGTATAATATACCAACTGGCTGCTTCGACTCTTAGGGCTACAGCTATGGATGCGCAGTAAGATAAGATCCTGGCAGTTCCGGGAACAAAGGTCAGACTTGGATGCTTGAAAAAGACGTTGTCCCCATTCTGTGCTCAAACCCATCCAATCTTGGTGATAGTGGAGACTGCCAACAACGTCCTTCATGTCAGTGAGCGTTCTAGACCTTAGCTGGTGTTTCCAACAAGATCCAGGCACCCACATAGAATGCACTCTGGCCCCCAATTACCTCTTACCTATATGGGTACCAAGGGAACCCCTTTGGGCCCCAAGGTGTATATTGTATATAGGTACCTGAACCCTTTGGGAACGCTGAAGATGGCAAGGACGTGAAGTGCAGCGACCGTGGTGAAGGGATGCCATCTGGCATCAGCTTTGGTAATTCGCCGGGAACCCAGCAATGGATGATTCTACAGTAGTCTGTAGACAACCTCTTAATTGCAGTCCTCAAAACCAATTCCTTGCATTCCCTACTTGCCACCAGTGAGACCGTGGTAGGCCGACTAGGCATGACATCTTTGTCGTCTTCACCCACCCCTCCTGTTGACCGTCAGAAATCAGATGCACGAGTACAGACCGGAACCGACAAAGAAGGCAAAGGAGGAGGACGGCAGCATGGTGGTAGTGGTGCTGGCACCAGTACGGGTAGTGCTGATGACGGACGATCTGGGCTTGGTGGGGTAGAAGCGGATATGGGGCTTGGGTGGGAGAGGGGCGGACTGTGGAGGACAGGGACGGTACTAGTAGAAGTGCCTATGTACGGGTTATGCGCTTGCACCCCATGTGTTGCGAAGAGGTAGCATTTGCTGAAATAGTGTCCTTGCCAGTGCTTCCGCAGTTACAGGGATGGGAAAGCTTAAAGATGGATCTAGCTGCATGGGGCAACGCGGAGGCATTTGCGCGTCAAAGGCTTCGTGTTAGACACTTCCCAATATAACCCCAATGTACTATAGTAGTTTCCATTTTATTTTTCATTATCCCCGTATAACCCCAATATAACCCTTGTTTGGTAAGCAGCATCAAGCTCGGAAGCACTGGAAGGACCACTCCCGCCAATTCAACCTCTTTCCATCGAATGGTGCGTGAAGAAAAGAATTGAACGTAAAAGTACTGTATTGCAACAATGGCCGTCCATCTGTAGAACCTTCTATCATTCTGGTTCCATGTTTTTGGAGCCTCGAAACAGTCAGGTTCATCCACTTGGGAAATTTTCGGTTTGGTGCCACCGGCGGGCTTCTTCTGTTGACTCATAACAATGGTCGGACGGTTCAGCTCTGGAAACATGATGGCCACCAGCTTACTAATCACAACCGGCACACTCCATCAGTGAATGGTCGACCGCCTTCTGCCTGGACATGCCCGGACATTGCAGACTCGGCTGATTTCAGTGCCTTTTTCGAGTTTAAAGTTTTCCATGCAGCAAGAAACCGTTTTTCTCTGTGCAGATGACAGCCCAGGCCGAGCTAGCCTATGGAGCCTGCAATCCCAACTTCGGGTCGTGGGGCGATCGCTTTATCCAGCTTGGTGATTGGCGCATAGCAGCTTTTGGGGATCACCTCAGCTTTTCCCACAAGAATGGGCAAACTGCAGTTATCTTCCGCGGACGAGATGGAACTGTGCATAATGGCCCAAGAACTGATTACAACTCCTGGAACAGGCCGTTGGGGTTTCCTCATGGGATCACCTTTGGTCCTGGATTCATCCAAATTGGCGAATTTCGTCTGGGAGCGTTTGATGATGACCACTTCAGCGTTGGTCACCAGAACGGATTGACCGTAATGACCATGAGGTCAGATGGCACAGAGTGGTATGCAGTTGACTTTAACAACTGGAAAAGAAGCGCCGGGCCAGCCGGCGGCATCACGTTCGGGGATGAATTCATACAGTTTGGCAAGTTCCGGCTGGGGACGATCACCAGTCCATACCTTATTCTCACACACAGCAACGGGAAGTCCATGATAGCCTACCAAAGCGACGGCTCGCAGCACCCAGACATCTTTCACAGCTGGGCGCCAAGGGTCAACCACCGGTATGCTCAGTGGCACTGCGGTAGCATCCAGGACATCTTGGGCTTTGTATAGGCCTTACATACTTATATACCCCTCATATAGCCAGGTAGTACCCATATTACCCCCAATAATCTACAAGAGTCCCCAGGAACGGTCCCTCCTAAAGCCCCTAGACAGGACATCTTGGGCTCATGCCCTGGCATCACTGCAGGGGACAATTTCTTGCAGCTGGGTGACTGGCGGCTTGCAGACATGGATGGCACGCACTTCTCGGTGTCCCATCAAGGTGGTCAGACACCTGTGATCTACAAGAACGATGGGACCACCCATGGAGGGCCTCGCACAGACTTCAACAGTTGGTTCCGCGAGTCCAAGCTCAGCAGCCATCCGTTGCGTTTGGGAGATCGCTTTATCCAGTTCGGCAGCTTCCGCATGGGTGAAGTGGATGAGGCGCATTTCAGCATTTCTCACCAAAATGGCAAGACGATTCAGATCTTCCGCAAAGATGGGCATGTGTTTCCAGGGCCCCGGTCTGACTGGGGCCTGTGGGGTCGCCCTCTTCTCGATGTAACCATGGGCGTTACATTTGGTGATCGCTTCGTCCAGATGGGCAACTTCAGAGTTGGAGACGTTGACAGCAGGCATTTTAGCGTGACCCATGTGCGTGGCAAGACAATGAGGATTTTCAGGGAGGATGGACATGTCTTCAATGGCCCTCGCAGCGATTACACGACCTTCGGTCGTAAGCTGCAAGACTGCCACATAAACTAAGGAAAAATTGGGGCTCATCAACTCCCGCAGATTTCATGGAGAGCCCTCTTGCACGTGAAACGTGCGGCTGGCTCTGCCAAGCATGTCGCGCAGAAAAAAGTCCAAGCATTCAAGCCGAGCTCGTTATTGAACATGAAATGGGTCCATGTCCTGTGTTCCACAGCAGAATAAGGCCATGACTACTGCGTGGTTGCGTCCAGGACAGGATTGGAAGAATGCATTGCAAAGGAGCTCAATCCTGGATGATCGTCCTGTATACATATGCTGGCACCTTGCAGACCTGTCTCTTGATGCCATGACCGGTCCTCATCGGAGACTTGGAAGCTGGAGATAGCACATGCAGACCTTGAGCACGGGTACAGCCTACCGAACAACTTCTTAGATGCCGGCTGTGCAACAGAAACATCAAGAAGCACAGGGACATGAATGGCAACGAAGCCTCACATAGAAATCTGCAGTGGTAGCTGCTTCTGGCTGCGCACCTGACCTTAAGCTTTTATTGAACACAGCCCGCCAGAAGGCAAGCAAGCAGCAGAACGCACATTGTCAGCCCTCCATCCGCTGGCGGCCTGAAGGCTGGCGGACCTTTGTACATTAGGATACGATAATTCCCGAGGTAAAGCTAAGGAAGCGTCATGCCGAATTTTTAGTATCATCAGTTGTATCCGAAATCTGTCTCATCATGATGAAAACTTCACCAAGCCTCTAGAAACCTCATGCACCGAAGCCGAACACATGGACTACACGAAAGGCCCTGCATACTGCAATCCATGTTCCTTCGCATTAGGCTCATGAGGCAGACGAGTCATTCAAGTCTGCTATAGTGCACCGCGTTTCATTTACTGCTGCTTCGAGCCCTGGCCAGAAGTGTAGGTGGGCCAGGCTAGGCCTGACTAGAGTAATGTAGAAGCCTGAATATGGTAAATAAAAAATATGGTATATATTGATATTGGGGTATATATTGTGGTTATGTTGGGATAATGGAAAAGAAAATGGAAACTATATAATATAATAGGGTATATATTGGGGTTATTAAGGCCCCTCAGCCGTGCTAGAACAAAGACGAAAGCCTTCCAGGATGCCTGGCGCACTGCTCCGCGGCATCCAAATGCTTGACACCCACTAGGCAATCGCAGGGTGGAAACGGGGGTTTCCCCAACCAGGGGTGCCATATTGCGGCTCAGCATAACTACCAACTGTCTTACTTACGGTAGATGCTCAAAATTAAAGAGATCAAACTGGGAATGGAGCAATGCATTGGCAATATTGTTGGAACAGACTTGGTCAAGCCTTTCAATCTTGATATGGCCATGCCTGTCGCAACCCATCACCTGTTGATCGCTTCCGCTCACAAAAAACATGTCTGCCCCTAGGCCAAATTTCGTTGCCAGGCAAGGAAAGTCTTTTATCACTTATTAGAGCGGTAGGAGGGTCTTTCAGGGATGATTAGTTTGTCGGAAGGTCAGAGCATGAATTCCATCCAGAGAGCTGTTGATGAAGCTTCGAGGGGGTTGGCTGCCTCGAGGGATGTATTTCAGCCTCAATGTGTTCTATTCACCTTTTCATGTGAAATGTTTGCCTTCTCAGAATTGGGGCAATCGGCTTCGATTGATAATTTGCCCTCACATCAGTTCCAGGAAGGTCTGTTTACTGCTGGCAAGGTGATCGTCAACAGGAGTGTTAACAACGTGTCCAGCTCGGGTGCCTTAAGCCTTTATTCTATTGGTTCATCTGAGACTCGTCTTAAACCCTCTTGGCCTCAACCCGAAACCCTAAACCCAAAGCTGGGTTGCTACTAAGGAACTTAAAAGAAAGTTACCATCGTATGGGTATGTAGTAGCTTACATGGTTTCTTCACTGTTCCTGCCAGGAGGTACTCGCGCTCGTGGCTTCTCTACTACTGATAGGCCAGGAGAGAGGATCAGACCAAAGCTTCTAAAGACTTTCTGCCTGCATGGATTGTAGAGAATCTTGTGGGGAGTTGTTTACAGAAAGTAGCAGTTATTTGCCCTAAACTCTGATTGGTGGTTGTAGTTTTGAGACAGGCTCCATTAGCAGGGCACTCGAATCGAGTGGATTGTGGCACTTCTTCCATAGGCTTTCCATAAACCCTTGAGCTTGGCTATTGCCCCGACCCACCCACGATCACACCAAGGGGCCTTACTTGTAAGAGTGCGACATTACTCCAATCTTGAAATACTGAGGCACTCTTGTAGGGCGGGGCAGTATCCAATCTTGAACCATGAGCCTCAAAAATGAAACAAGACTGCTGTGTGATCCTCAGTGTGAGTCCTTCCAATGTAAACTGTGCAACTGGTCCTGGTATGTCCTGGTATGTCCTGGTGGTGGGCTGAATACGATCGAAAAGTGTTTGCGGAGAGTACTGAGCTGATACACAGACAAATACACAAATACACTGCAGTATTCCGCGTTCCTGGCAAAAGATAGGACCTTCAAAGCCAACCCCCTACTCCGCACCAAAACTGCAGGGGCCAGCATGCTCGTGCAGAAGCGTTACAGTGACTTTCGCACCTGAACAGAAGGTTGCGCTCAAGAGCATGCTGTGGACCTTGGCGTGAAAATCGTGTTCCTGCCAGTGAGCCAGGGGATGATTGCAGGCTTGTTGCTAGAGAGCTTCCTGCTGCTTAGGGCAATATGCATGAAACATCACGCGTTGCCTTTGGCTTGCATAGGGCCAAACCGAGGACGCAAAACTGCGCCTGGCACTGGCACGGCCAAAGGGGCATACTGTCCAGCAGATGCAAGGCCCTTCGCCGAGATGGCGGCATGCAATGCACATCTCATGCGCATGTGCTAAATCTGCGAAGCATGTCTTAAACAATTATGGCAACAAATACCTAAAAAGTGGTCTCTCTTGATAGAAAGGGTTGGACCATTTTTCCGGCCGCAACCCAAGACGCGAGCCATGGCGGAAGTTTCACAGGGGATGATACTGGCTTGGGCCGTAATCCTCATCGGCAGCCACTGGATTCGGACCAGCAAGGATCTGATGCTGGTTTGCCAGCAGTTATGGAATTACATTCGAGAGTTTACCCATGGGAGTCCGGAGTCTAGCATGAGTTCAATGAAGCTGGGCTATTCCTGGGAGTTATTTTTGATTGTAATGGACCTGAGTCCCCATAACTTTAATCCTCATAAAGCTATTAGGATTAGATGATTATGGGGCCCCGAAATCTATCTAAGGAAGCGAGTCGATGAAGCAATGGACCGCATGAGGGAGGAGAACTACGTCTTGACCTGCAGGTTGATGCAGCACGCAGTTCTCGCAGGCCTGATTGCAATTCTTGCTGTTTGCACCAAATTGGCCGTTTGTAAAGCAAACAAAACAAGACATCATCTTTAAAGACATGCTTCTCGCAGGCTTGATTGCAATTCCAGTGACTCACGGCGAAGACCTCGCCATATGTATCGGCATGATGCTTTGCGGCCTCTTCATCTATGGAGTGCACACATCTCTGGCGAATGGATCGCTTTGTTTATCCGCCAGAGGCCTCAGATATCTCTTTGCCACCTACTACTTGATGTTCATGGTATTCGTTGGTTTTTCTCCCGACGCATCTGGCCCTGCGGCCACCGCCAATCAGAAGCAAATATTGGCAGCCCAATTTGCTGCAGTTGTTTGCTTCGTGGACAGCCGAGTTCATGTGCCTGGGCAGATGGCAATGTTTGTCTTTGAAGCTGGCCGCTACTTTGCACTGAGAGGCTGGGATTCTGCTGCAGCAGAGTTCCTGTCGTACCAGTTTGTCTGCACGATGCTTATCATTGCAGCATCAGTAGTGCACGAACACACCCTCCGGGAACGCCTGTCTGCACAGTTCCGACATGTAGATGCGGAGTCCATGATCTCCAGTTTCCGGACCCTGCTGAGGGGCATCTGTGACGGTGAAATACTTCTAGATGAGAATATGCGGATTCAGGATGGTGGTACTGGGCTCAACCGTCTCTTAGAGACCAGCGGTAGTCTCGAGGGTAGAGAGTTTGAGGAGGTCTTGGTCCAAGACGCAGACGAGAAGGACCGCTTCCACAACTTCATATCCACAGAAGAACCTGTAGTTTCGGGTGCTCCTCCGTGCCTGCGTGTCTCTCTGCGTCCCAGTGGACGTCTAGGTGTGGATCTTTTTCAAGTCGCAGTTCCCCACTTGTATGGCTGTAAAGGTGCCTACCATCTGCTTGCCATGAAGTTGGATGCCGAGTACTGTGCAATGCCCGAGGCCCCTGCTTGCGTGCCAGAAATCCCAACCTTTCAATACCACAAGCCTTTCTCTTCAAGAGCACCTGGCTCTCGACGTTCAGACCGCTCGGGAGGCTCCCTGCTTCACACGACTCCCCACCTGAAAGAAATCATGCTACTGGTGGATGCTAGCAATCGGCATGCAGTTCAGCAGGTTCATTTGAGCTATCAGGATCGAAAGCGAGGAGCAAGCAGATCAGAGAGGGACAGCCCAAAGAGCTCGCGTGAGTGCATGCCAGCTCTGCGAGATTTTATTCGGCCAACAGAGTGGGGGACGGTGCAGAGCAAGGTGCAGAAGTATGTAGCCCGGTGCGACAATTCTTCGGAAGTATCCCTGGGCCACATATGGATAAAAATGTTTGACCGTGCTTCAACGTACATCTTGGCGCGCCGAGCCAAGCTGAAACCTCGAGCATCGGGAGATGGCTCTGGTTTTGGACAGCTCTGGTTGCACCTGAAAGATTTCACCTCTGAACCAGCAGAGCAAGGTATCCCAAGTGAGCTGGAGTACATTGGTGAGGCCGGCGCATGTGAGTCAGACCCCGACCCAGAGTAGCATTTCCTTCAGGGAAGTGTTGCCGGAGGCGGTCGGTGACTTTTTGCATTTGTCAGAATCCCTGTCGAGGAAGCTTCTGGTTCTTGTTTAGCATATCATCTTTTTGTTCGCCTTGCTGAGCGATTCCCTATGTCCAGGGAATAGAAGCCGCCCTTTTGCGAATTTGCACAACGTTCAAGGCTGCAGCATTCTGTATAGGGGCAAATCCGTTGACTGCAGCCTGGCGCCATGGGTTCTCTATCCCAATGGAAGAAAATCAAGCTGCATTTTTCAGGAGCTGATGAATACCGTCGGGACGATTTGTAAGATCCTATATGGGGATGACATGCGGACGAATTTATTTCATATTCATTTAGTATTGCTTAGGCGCGACTTTGATGTAGTATGCAAGTGGAACTAGCATAGCAAGCGTAGACGAGCTTAGTTGACATCTCTCGGCATTTATCATGACGTGTGGTTCCTTAGAATCTGAGGTTTAGAGGCTTGGGTGGCGATTTAGATGTTTGGGGTTTCGTGGTCAATGCTCTCACCAATGTTTTTCTGGCCATGCCCCGATCCATTTCGAGTCGAACTACCGGCGAGGTTGCGTTTCTACGGGGGTATTACCCTCCAATACCAGAGAATCAAATGACAAAACACCAACAGCATTCAGCCTGTTCGTCACTGGCGTTACGCTCAGCACGGAAGTGAGTGGGCGTGGCCAAGCTTTGTGGGAGTGAATAGTGTACCTGCACGTTTGCCGACACTCCCTTCCGCTACTTGTAGTAGCTTAGTAGCTACGAACACAACAAAAAGTGCTATTGATATAGCTTTTGCACTTGCTACTGTGGACTACAACTGCGGGACTGGAGCCATCAGCGGCGGCGCCGCTTTTTCTATTCCTCGTGCGCAAACTTGAACAAAATACATTTTTATCCTGAATTTGGTTTCACTCAAACATGTCGGGTTGCCATGCATTCACTTGATTTGCCGCCTAAGACCCGGGCTTATCTCAAGCAAGGAATACAATGTTGAGCGCACGTTTTGCGCTTTTATCACGACTAGTTAGCCAGTCCTTGTCAGATGCTCGATGAGAGAGGATGGGGATAACATAGAATATCCGATATATGTTTATGCATTATACTTCGTTTAAATATACGTAAAACCCCATCTCAAAAAGAATGATCTTGGAGATTTTAGAGGCCTTCAGACAAATTAAAGACTCTATGAATTCCGAGATTTTTGATACGCGGGCCTCTTCGCCACGGAACGATCTCTCGGTTTATGTGTCTACATGCATATTGGGGCGGAACGTGATGACTTAAAATAATCGTATTTGTTATCTATTCTCTCGTTCTGCTGTATAACAATTAGTCTTAGAAAGATAAATGATCCGGAAATTCTGGGTCGGAGATTTCGGGCCTCTCGAGATTTTGAATTATTTCTTTCGGTTGTTTGTGGTCTTTTGCCT